AGTTAACTCATTTGTTGCGGAATAGCACATACTTAAACCACCATTACCTTTCCCCACTTGAAATCTAAGATGCGTCGGCTAATACGGTAGCCAATCAGGGGAGGCCTGCCATTGATAAATCGAATATGTGGCCCGCTTTTCGTTTCGAGCCTCCGACACCACCCACGGCCGACATATGGGAAAGGTATAGGTGGTTTGGCCAGTTGTATATACTTACACCACCATTACCTTTCCCTACGTCAGATATATACTTAAACCACCAGTACCTCCGATATTCACAGCCATATACGAGTCAGGATGTGCTCGGAAGAATGGGCTTGGAACGAAGCGCCCAAATTTATTCAAGTTGAAACAATTCTGATTTTTTTTTTTTTTTTTTGTAACCCCTCTCAGAAGACCCCCATCCACCCTTCCTCTGATCAATTACCCTGGTGCACCCTTACCCCCTTTGTCCTATTTTGTCTTTAAAAAAAAAAAAAAACATTGTTAGCACGAGAGTATATGCGAGGGGTTGGTAAGAGCATCCTCCTCTAGCAGGCCTTGCAAGTGCAAGGTTGATGGCTCCAATGTATTGGTGGGGAGTTGCACCTCCTGGAAACGGGGTCCAACGTCCCGTGAATAACATCTTCTAGGAGCAAAGTTTTCAGTAATCCAGCAAATGGTTATACAGTGGGAGGCAGCATTGACCATCTTCTCAAGAGGGGATTGACTTACCTCCCATCTACAAGACAAAACACAACAAACCCATATTATGTGCCCTCTCTATCCCCCTCACGAACACCCATAATCATCCCTCGCCCCAGCATTAGAAACACAAACTTTCATTCCACGTCTGTCAGCGCAACCTTCCCTCCTCACCTGACCTTGGTCAAAAGGCGGTGATTGTTTGACAACATGCATTTAACCCTCGTTTCTTGTAAAAGATTGCTAGTCTGCAGTTCGGATTTTACCCCTCTATTTATACTCACAAGGGCATTTTGATCATCTGTGGGGAAAACAAACCCTAATCCTACTTTTGATAGGACCATTACACTGAACCACCCCTAACCTAGGACCCCCAATGAAACTCACCCTTGGTGTCATGGCAGGACATGGGCTTGTATCCCATATAGCGATGAAGGCAGATATGTAGTTTGATCAATTAAAAGAGAAACGATCTATAACAGGGAGGAATTGAATGTGCGGATTCGAAAGTCGAACGTCAATTCCTACAGGTTCATTTCGGAGGAAAGGTCATGGGCAGTGAAGCGGTGGCATGCATCTTCTTTCAAACAACCTCCACCGCTTTAGCATGTCAGGGTGCTCTGGTGAGGGGAGAGATATGACAAAGGTCAGAGCCATATCCAATTGTAGTCGCTGCGCCATCCACCCCTCAGCCGACTGCCCCCCTTCTAGTTGTCCAACCCAAGGAGATCACCAAGAGCGGTAAGGTTGAGCCCAACCGCCCCTTTTCTTCCCTTCCCACCCTTGCATCCTCCCCCCCTCACTCTTATCTCCTCCCTTGGCTTGAGACATCTTGTGGTTTATCACTGCATCGCTCCTTGATGTGGTATTGCTCAACGCTTTTCTTTCAACTGCTTGATACGGAGCAACGTTTCTTCTCCCCGTATTGGATTGCCCTTGCATCGGTGGGTAGCAATTGCAATGAGCCGCCCTTGCTTGTCCTCCTCCGGTGCTTTCTGACTGTTCACCACCCCGAGAGAGGCAGGGAAGGTCACTTCCTGGTTGTAGTTCCGTCCAATCATGTGGTGCTGCCGACAATTGTCATCGCCCCTAACCATTCCTGCATCGGGGGGGGGGGGAAGCACCACCCTCACGAGATGTCGATGCTCCTTAGGCCCATGGGATCCATTTTCCATCTCACCATTTTCAACTTCGGTGGCGATAATCATGTTATCTTTGCAGGACAGATATTTGGTCAACAACAAATCTTCGATTTCTTTTTATAGGTGCCTCAGTGAGTGGAAGCAAGCAAATGCATGGTTGCTTTGCCAAGCCCGGTGAGCGTCACCAGCTTCAGGTGATTGAAGAGCACCTTCAAGCACCTCCAGCCTGCAAACGCTGTATTCCAACCGATTTATTGACTCGAGTCTCCGGCGTCACCCACTTCTTCGGCAGTTTTCTTGACCAGTTCCAGTATATATTCATAGCTCTCCCCGTCGCCATCCACCAGGGCAGGTTATCCATGGCTGCAATTGTTGATGACGGACTTTCTTGTTCCTGCTGCCGGTGTACAGGAGGAATCGTCAGCATGAAATATAACAAAATGTTTGATGTATGTGGTGTCTCTACGCAACATCGGTGTTTTATGCTGGTTAGTTTTCCATGTTTCGGTCAACCTGCTCTGGATCCTTACCTCCTTCGTAGGAACAGTCGGGTGTCGCGCTCCCTACTTGCAACTTCCAACTTCTTCTCCAACACTTCCAACCTGCACACGTTGTCTTCCGACTGATTTAGGGCGTCATTCGACACCACTTGAAAATACTTGAGTTTCAAGGGCGCCCTAAACGAGAAATTGAGATTAATATACAATAAGTTGAACCCTATTTATGGTTTCATGTGCACTTGAGGAAACCCTTGAACAAAACGCACTTAAAACCGAAACCCACGGCTTGACCAATCGTGGACCAGAACGCCTGCTGGAGAAAAAAAAAAAAAAAAGCCCCAGTCGAAGTGTTCTGCTGTATCCTACATGACACCCACAACCTAGGACGTGGGCAATCCCGCCGCTCCGACCGAAAAAGTCGGGCGCGGCTGCGACCAGGAGACCTAGTTTGCCGCTTGATTGTTTTTTTTTGGGGGGGGGGTAAAAAAATAAGCGAAAAAACAAATAAAAATATGGGGTTGTAGGGTTTGCAAACCCCTATAACCCCATAATTTTTGTTTTTGAGTTTGACTCGATTTACAAATAAAACAAAAAATCGGTTAAAAATAAATAAATAAATAATAAAGAAAAGAAAAGCAGGATTTTTTTTTCCCTTTTTTTTTTTTTTTTTTTTTCACAAAAAGGAAGTCAATTCATTACCAAATGTGGGGAGGCCGGGAGTCCTCCACAAACAACCCGGAGTAACCACATCGAAACAGTCTGGGGCCGTTACCCAGTGTAGGGCTTGGGCGTTGGGAATACGTCCAGAGACATTGGTCGGTACGAGACCCTTGCTCTGACTGATCCACAACCCCAAAAAAGGAAAAATAAAAAATCATCCCTCAGGGCCTAAACACCAAACAATTCAAAAGAAATCTGACTGATTCACAACCCCAAAAAAGGAAAAATAAAAAATCATCCCTCAGGGCCTAAACACCAAACAATTCAAAGGGGAGAAGGAAGGGGAAGGAGAAAAGAAACATCTCAGCTAAGGATTGACTAATATCATATTGAGAACGGGAAACTAACTACCAGCTACCAGCAGAATGGGGGGAATAAGAAAACAAGCAAATCAACCAACTGAAACTAAAACTAATCCCACCTAAAGTGGTGGCAGGGTCGCACAGGACCCTGGAAGGCTAAAGTGACACTCCCTCCTATCCTCTTACACCACGTCTGCCTGCCCACTGCGGCAAAAAAAACGAGTGCCCTGGTAATGGAACCAAGAAAACAGCTCCTGCTAACTACTGTCTACTGATCCAGGAAAAAACAGGAGCCCAACTCCAATTTGCCTTCCTCTGAAACTCTCGCAATGTCGTTGCTGAGACACCAGGTCTTCAGAAACCAAATTCTGCCTGAGCTAGAAGTTTGTCCTTTCCTCCTTTAGTCCGCTTGAATCGATCTACGCAGGTTGGTTCTGAATCTGTGCGGAATCTCCTTGTTACACAGTTCCTTGCTTTTGAATACTCTGCAGTTCCTTTCGTGCCAGATGACGTCTATACCAGCAGCTCTTGCTACCTGGGCTACATATCCCCAGCCTGTATCCATGCTGAGGTCATCCGGAACTCCCCCCAATAGAACCCATTCCCTGGACCAGGGGAGAGTTTGACCGGCGAATCTTTCCCAGGTCCTCTGCCACCATTGCCATATTCTAAACGAGGTTGGGCAGTCCCACCACAGGTGCGGGGTGGATTCAAAGGCCCATTGACAGCGACTGCAAGTTAGATCGAGTGAGACTCCTCTTTGTGTTAACCAAACCGCTGAGGGGGTGGCTGAATAGGACAAGAGTCAGAGAAGTGTTGCCTGTCTTTGGTTGGGGATAAGACGTAGTTGTTCCCAACATTTGGAGAGTGCGGTTCTAATCTCCTCTGGTGCGGTCTGCAGTACTTGTGACCATCTTCCTACTACAACTGCCAGGGGTTGTCTTGGTGGACTGAGTATCCTGTACCCTGTCTGCGCAGAGTATTCAAGAATGGGGAGGTTCTCACCCTTACGTCCTCTGGCTCGCCAAAACCATAAAGCAGGGTCCAATCTTATGGTTTCAATCGGCTGACCTCCCGCAAACCCAGTGCATCTAAGCGAGCCGTCCAAACCTTCTTCCTCAAAGACTCTGACCTGTTCCAATGATAAACCTAGCTCAGGGTGGGTGCGGTCATCATCTAGCTGCAGCGAATAGCTGGCTGTGGACGGAGTGGTCCAACATTGAAATATTCTTTTGTCCTCCGTATGAGCAATGAGCTTCCAGAATTCTTGCGGCCTATGTGGCGAGTGAACCAGGTACCCGGGGGGTCCAGGCTAGCCGGATCCAATAGGGCTTTCCAAGTTTCCGGTATTGCTGCTAGTATCAGGTCCCTCCTTTCTTCCACCCTCCTGAGAGAGCCCAGTTTGGATTGAAGATCCTGCACCGAAAGCCAGCTGTTAGTTAGAGTATCCCAGAGATCTCTAATTGTTGCCACCCCTTTCTCCACCCAGTTGCATCCAAAGCTCCCTACTGCAGTGTCCGCCTTGCTCCAGAGACCTGAGGAATCAGTAATGTGAGGGTTCTTAAAAACTGGTTCGTTGAGTACTTCTTGTCTTGTAACCGGCAGCTCCTATGTGTCCGGTCTGAGTCGTCTCCACGCTTTAATGACCGGGCTCCAAAAGGGCGATTTGATTACCCTTCTCTGATACGAGTACATTAACAACGCAGTCCATACGCCCTTAGGACGCGAGAGGTCTCATTCTTTCATCAGAATCTGTTATCCTAACAGTATCCAGTGATATGCATTCTCTGATGAGATAGCCTGTATAATCCACCTCACCAACATTGCAGAGTTTCGTCTCTCCGGATCAGTTATGCCCAAACCCCCATCCTGTTGTGGGGAGGTAATCAATTCCCAAGCAACTTTGGTGATAAAAGAGTTTCCAGCTTCCGCGTAAGGTTTTCATAAGAACTTGGAAGCTCATTTTCTTAACATGGGGCATAATTGCTCTCCTAATCTACGAACCGCCCTTACGAACCAAAGCAAGGAGAATAGTGAGGCATTAAGGACAAATGCTCGGCCGACAACAGAAAAATTCCCACGAGAAAGGAAAGTTAAAAAAACATTTCATAAAGAAAAAATCCTTCATATTTATAAATTATAATTCCAATGTTCGTCCAATTCAAAAAAATTCAGTTTTATTTGATAAGATCCCGTCTAAATATGAGTTTTCCCTTCCAACTACATCTATTTGTTTAAGATAGAATGAAAGTCTGGACGAGTTTATGAAATGTTTTAATTAAACTTTCATTCTACTACGAGAAATATCTTATAATTTAGATTGGATTAGCATATTTATGACTGAAAATCCTTAATTAGAATGACATTCCAATTAAAATATTCCATGAACTCGTCCACACTTTCATTCCATCTCTAGCATGCAGTTCAAATAAGAAGGGATACCCCATTGTTGGAAGGAAAGTTTTTAAGTAAGACAGAAAATTTTAAAATTGGAATGACATTTTTTGAGATGGAATGAAAATTCAAAATTTAGAATGTAATTTCACTATAGAATGATTATTTAATTCTAGAAATTTTTTCCGTTGAAAGATCGATAGATGTGGGGCCGTTCCCCATGAGGCTAACCTGTGGAGAGACTCTTGCAATAGCATGCCATCTTGATCCGCTGAGCAATCGCACAGGGTGATCTGGACTCCCAGAAATCTCTCTCAATTGTTGAGGTCCACCTGTTTCATACCCCATCTGAGACACGGTGTGTGGGTCTTTGGCAGCAGGAAGACCGATTTATGCTAACTGACTGAGGTCTCCGACAGTGCTGAGTATTCGTCTAAACAGTGTTTGAGAGCACCCATAGATTCTACGCTATTCCTGGATATAGCTAATAAATCGTCAGCCAAAGCTTTCGCACGACATTCCCGATTCCCGGTGGGGAGACCCTGAATCTGGGGATGGGCTCTAATGTTATTCAAGAGGACTTCTAACTGGGTGACGAAGATCAGAGGAGCTAACGGGCAACCCTGCCTGAGGGAACGGGTCAATTGGAACTCTTGGGAAATTTTCCCATTCACCATGACTGCCGCAATTGAAAAAACATACAGAGCAGAGATCCAACTGCAGAAATTCTCACCAAAATTCAACCATTTGAGTGTGGAGAGGACATATGATCAGTTGACCCGATCATATGCCTTCTTCAAATCAAGCAGTAGAACCATCATATTCATCCCTTCATCCGCAATTACCTCCAGTGTCTGAATGGCTGTAATGATGTTATTGAAGATTGAACGCCCCCTGACGAAAGCCGCTTGGTCCTCCTTGACTAGATCAGGCAGCACCGTACTCAACCTGCGTGCTAGCGTTTTAGCTAAGAGTTTGTAGGAGACGTTCAGCAGGGCAATCGGGCGGTAATTCCTTACCTCAGATCTGTCACCTTTCTTGTAGAGCATGGAAATAATACCATTTCGCATGTTCTTAGCCAATTTACCCCCTGTGAGGACCGAGTTGTAAAGATCTACGAGACTATCTCCCACTACGTCCTTGATGGAGAGGTAGAGCTCGACCGGAAGTCCATCGCCGCCTGGAACCTTCCCATGAGCCATTACCATGAGAGTGGCTTTGGCTTCTTCGTTTGTGATGGGTCTATCCAGGAGAAGTCTAGCAGCATTAGGCAGTCTAACCGTTGTGTTGTCCCAGTGGGAGGATTGGAGAAATAGATCACAGTCCACATTATGACCTTGTAATCGGGACGTAAGGAAGTTTTTGTAATATAACGCTGCATACTCACTCAGAGATTTCAGGTCTCTGGCCTTCGGTGCTTGTGAGTCAAATGGGTGACAGAGTTCAATGACGGGTTGTGATCCTCGCCGAGGGGCGATTTTTTGGAACGTTTTAATACTCATTCTGTCGTAGACTGCTATTCCTCTGACTCTTAGCCTTTCCGACCACAACTCAAAGTTCTTTTGTTGAAGATTATCCCAATCTGCTGACAACCTTACTCTCTCCTTGCCACAGACTATCCGTGAGATGGGGTGTCGGGCCATTTTTGCCTCAACCTCCTCTATTCTCCTCCTGAGTGAGGCTTCTTTCCTATTCCTCTTCGAAGCTAAAATCCTGGAGAACACATTCAGTAGGTTGGAAAAAATAGTCGAACCCGTGTGCCACCATTCGTCGATCGAAACGAAGCGACTCTTCTCTTGATCCCAATCAGCCCAGTAGGATTTCATCCAGGCAACAAGGCCTGAGTCCTGAAGATTTTGAATATTAAATCTAAAATAGCCTTTGCCCCTGGCTATGAGAGAGGTATGTAGCTGAAGGAGAACAGGTTTGTGATCTGAGAGTCGGTGAGAATACACCTTAATAGAGTCGACTTGCTCCCATAGCTCCTCCGATATTAAGAAGAAATCCAATCTACGGCTAATGATTCCGGTTCTCTCCTGGTAGTTAGAAAACCACGTGTAACCATCCTTCGTCGGATGTGACAGTCGATACGGGTCAACTAAGGAGTATTTTTCCATTAAATTAAGGAGCATTGCGATGTCAGCTGGATTTTGGCTACCTGATTTGGTGGTTGCCAGATCCAGTGAGACATTCCAATCTCCTATTACAATTAAGTTAGCACACTCCGGAATCAAGTCATCCAAATGCTCGAAAAAGTTGGCTCGTTCCCTCCTACCTGTCGGAGCATAAACATTCACGATCAACCATTCTTTATCCTCAGCCCACAGTTTTAACCATACCCATCAACCCCAGAGATCAGCAAAATAATCTAGGATCTCAAACCCTGCGTCTCTATGCACTAGGATAGCTACTCCTCCTCTGGTGCCTTGTGCAGGCGACCAGATTTGAGGGCCGTCCCACCAAGCACCTAGTTCGTTGACCCTATCCTCAATTAACTTCGTTTCCTGTAGACAAGCCACTTGAACACATTTTTCGTGGATCCAGGATTTTAGTCTGGCTTTCTTAAACTTACCTGAAGCATCGACTAGGCCTCTCAGGTTCCACGTGGGGAGCCGAATTCTACCCATTCAATCCTTGTCTCCCAGCTCCTTGTTGGATTGGGACGGCTGTTCCGGATGAAGCTGCCTGCTGCTCCCAAGGCGCAGATAGAGAGTCCCTGATAAATTTGGAGTTGAGTTTTTTATCTCTCGGTAGTTTGCCATTGAGTTCTACCAGAAACTCACCAGTACGAAATGAAGGAACTCTGATTCTTCGGAG